TATGGTGAGTGCAGAGGAGTTATTATTAAGTTCAACTGCACGTTTTTCCTTTGTGACTGTTTTTGTTTATTTATTGCCTCTGTTCGGACAAGTATTTCTGTCATCGTTACTAAAGAAGAAAAGTCACTTAAGTTGTGGAATCGAGTACAATGTCTTTGAAGACGTCTGCTTGTACTGACCGGTATATAGAGATCTTTGGAGAACATGTGTTTACAGTATTCTAAAGGTGCGATGTTGTTGATGATACTTTTGATGTTGTGATAAAATATATTGGTTAATGTGTCGGTATTGTTTGAGGTAAAGAAAGTTCTCCAATCAGTGCTTCTTAGGTAATTGTGGAAGTTATTCCAATCAACCTTGCTATAGTTTCTACGAAGTGTTACGGTTTTACTTCTATCGGTTGTGGTTTTTACATTAAGGCTGCATATGACAATGTTATGATCACTACGTGGAAACTTTTTTCCAATATAGAAAGTATTGGGGATGCGTCCACTGGTAAAGACTAAGTCTAGTAGGGCTATTGACATACTGAACCCATTGTCCAAGCTCTAGACATTCAATAAATGACTCATAACGTCTCGGCGCTTTGACTGGGAGCCAAGAAATTTTGGGCATGTTGAAGTCACCACAAATAAGCTTGCCTGTGAATGGAAGGGATGATGCTAGTGTGAATACCTCTGATAATACTGCTATTTCATCTATTGATGCGTTAGGTTGACGATAAACACAACCAAGCAGTAGGGTCACGGAATTCGACACACACCAAATCCTTCAGTTTGTTCAGTCCAGGCATATCACATAGTAGTGAGTTTAGGCTAGAATGAGCGTAAATAAGGCATCCTCCGCCTCGTCCATTCAATCTATCACTTCTATACAGGAAATAATTGTCAAGAGATATATTTCGGTCGGAAATATTACTGTTAGTCCATGCTTCAGATATCATAATAACTGATGGTTGATATATGGATACAAACAGGGCTAAATCCGTCTTTTTGTTGCAGATCGATCGAGCGTTGATAAGACATATATTAAGCAAGTGGCCTACTAAGTTAAAATGGGTGAGCGTATCTCGGATAAAGTCGTCGTAACCCTCGCGGGTGTGAGATGAGTTTGAAGTGAGGGATTGAATGTTCTTCATTAGCTCGGTATTTTGATAGCTAGAATTGGTGACAGATGTATCAAATGAGCTAGGGAAGTTGGTTAGGGAGTTTACCCAGGAGGAAAGGGTGGGAGTACTCTCTGATGGAAACTGTACGGAGGAAATAAATTTATGGTTTTCATGTGGTTTGAAAAAACTTGGGCTATATGCTTCAACAGAGGTGTCACTAGGGGTCTTATTCCAAAAAAATCTTGTACAGGCCTACTGTAAAGTGTATGGTTATTTGAAAAATAGTCTAGATGGTTAGACTCGCAGCCTCTGTTATGGTTATTTACGATAGCGTGAGAGGGGTCTGCTGCGCGTAGCTGGAAGGAGTTGCGACTGTTATTATACATAGGAGCTGTTTTTATGTGATGGGTTGGTACTGAAGGGTATGGAAGGTTTTCTTTCTGAGAGTAATTATGGTTGTGATCCTGGGGAATGTAGATAGGGTGTGAAATGAGAAACCCATTATTACCACTCTAATTAAGGGTTTTAGGCTTCAGAGGGTGATTAGAGTGGCAAGTCCTCCGGTAGTTTTCGTTAGTCTGCGTGTTAGATGGCTTGTTACGCTGATGCCCACCACCCATTTTGCAACTTAGAGGTATTGAAGGCAGGTTATACGATAGCAGCGGGGAGAACCTGTTCGCTGTTCTTGGGATACCTTTAGAGCACTTGGGTTCAATCTTACGTGTTTCCCTATTCGGTTTCGTGAGTTTTGTCTTCCCACCCTTTATTTTCAGAGCTGGAGTCTTTCGTTGTCTCTGTGAGATGAACTTACGTTCATTCAAGTCTACTTGTGGGGTATCTTTAGGAGGACAAATTTTCAAGTGTATAGGTTTACTTGGATGTGTGTTCTCACACGACTCACATTTTAGTACATTACTGAGCGAACAGCTGGGATTAGTCATGTCGTTATGGTTTTTGGTGTTAGATGGGGTCCGTATCATATCCAAAGGTTTCTGATCTGCAGACTCATCTAGATCAACAAAGTGATCAGTCGTATGTGGAGTGGTGTCGTGCTTATTGTCCGTGTGTTTTAAACTATTTGCTGTGTTGCAAACTGTCTCTGGCTGATTATTAACTGTAACACTCCCATTCAATTTTATCGCTTCACGTCTTCTTACATGACGTTGACAGGTCATAAGGTCTGGAGTGACTTTTATATTCTTGTATGGAATTAGTGAGTTAATTTTTTTGCTCGAATCAATAAACTGCTTAGCATCGTTACAACAGCCAAACATAAACAGGAGGGGGCAAGTTGATCTGTCTGACTTTTTTCTAAGGCGGATGAATTTGCAGTTGACGTTAGGCATACCGCATGCCATAAGGCAAATATCACCTAACTTAGATGGGTGTGTGCGGTCGGAGAAGTTATACACAACTGCATTGAAGGAGTACATCACCCTTTTTGTCACTTCTTCAGCCACAAACTCCAAGATACACTCAGCTTTAGTGAGTTGCTCGAGATTTCTGTCTGTGTCGAGGCCTCATATATGAGTGAGGGGTGCTAATTGCTCAAGTTTGCCGTTAATTTCGGATAGAGAGTTTTGTGGCTGTCGGATGTCATTACTATATCTATCAGTATTTTGGTGTGTATGAGATGAACCACTGGACTCTTTAGTTCTTGAAATTTTAGATTTAGGCCTTGGTAGAACATAGTGTCTAGTAGACTGTGCTGAGTTTTCGATGCACGTCGGTATAGTGTCTTGTATGTCAACCAGTCTTACCGTTAGCATACTGCACGTAGAGATAGAGGGGCTTTGACATGGAGAATCTGGTGATGATAGAGACATTTGTGTACAATAAACATATTGTTCAGTAGTTATCCTCTTCCTATCTCAAATGTGTTCTTCAGAAATGCTAGACGTTATACTGCCGATGTCGTGATAGGATGAGTTAGTACACAGAATAATGTGAATTTCGCGTATAACCTTATAGACCAGGTAGTCACATAATGACAAATCTATAATTTTGCGATGAGGTCTATTGTCACAGTAATACTACTACCAAAGTACACCATAGTTCTACGGTTTACTTATCAATCGGTCTCTAAAGTTTCCCACATCATGACTAATTTTAGTATATCCCGATCTTTTGTACCACCTGTTCTATCCATTTCATCCATTTTTAGTGTATTGCTTCTTGTTTTACTGTCGTCAGCTTTCGCCAGGATCTATTTAACAACTCATATTTCAACGTAGTCATGAAGAACTTGCCTAAGAGACCTGATTGCTGCTTTGGCGTCGCTTTAGTATGCAATGTGAGAAATGCGAAAATTGGCTTCAGAAAGATACACAGATCTTACGGTAACTGCTTGCAACAGACTTAGTAATTCAAATCGCAGGTGGGTATGTGGCACATGCAACATTAAGGTTCAGGATGTGCTGAGCAACATCACTATTCTATTGACAAGTCTGCGAAAAAATGTCAGCAAGTCTGGGAAAAGACAGTCCTGTACGGATAAACAAAGACGCGCAGTGTGTTATGGAACAGGATCTTCGACAACATTAGTATCGATGGAATACGGCCAACAAAAGTGAGGATATGCTGGAACTCGGCACCGCCGTAAAGTCAAAGTTGTTAAACTCTCTCAGCATGCTTGTGTTTCCCCAGCACAAGCTTCCTGAACGCAACTGTGGTCTCCAAAAAATATGTGGGCGACTGAACTCTCATTAATAGTTACAAAGAATCCAGTGTCACATTCGAAAACGCTGAATAGCCTGGATCTTGTAGTGAAATCAACTGCTGAAGTGACCTTACAATCTACCTCTAAGATTGTCCGACCAGTCGGCACACACACTATAACCTCGGCAGAAAAAAAGCCTGTCTATATAACCTTACCGTTTAGAGGTGATCTAAATAGCCTTTTATTGAAACAAAGGCTTAAATCAGTTATTGACAAGACATAATTCTCAGCAAACGTCATTTTCAGAGAAAGATAAGGTTCATGTTTCGCCAAAACTTAAAAGACTTGAAAACGATTGTGTCACACCTCATTGTATTTATTAATTTACATGCGTGTGTGATCATACATAGGTACGGGAAAGTAATCATTTTCTCCAAATCAGCGTGTCTGAAGGGCTGCAAAACAAGTAAAATCAAATGACCCAATAAGAGTAGATGATAAACATTCATCAAGCATTATCGTCAAACACATAGTTGAAACAGGTCGTAAGATTGATCGTAACACGGCTTTTCTGGTGCTGTAAAAAGTGTGATTAGTCGATAACTGGAACGCTGTATCCAAAAAAGTGGTATCAGGCTCATTAGCGAATGTTTTCAAAGAAGATCTGGGTCTTCACTAGAAGACAAGCTGCAAGGATTGACACAATTCCACCAACCCACTAGCCTTAACACCAGAGACTAAGGAAGTTTGCCGCTCAAGGTCGTCGGGATGAGAGCGAAAATCTGAAAGTGTGTGACTCGCTAGGACATGCGTTCAGCTTATTGTTTGAGACGTTATGCTAGGCATTTCTCTTCAAGCATCCAAAGAAGCCAGCTAGATATCACAAAAGTTTCATTAAAAGATGTGATCGATCAAGGGTTCAGTAATCACTCGAAACCGTTCACTGAGGATAAGGAAACTAAGATCACGCACTTGAGTAATGGTCTTCGTGTGGCTTCTCAAAACAAACTTGGTAGCCAGTGTGCAATAGGAGGTTTGTTTCAGTTTTTATACTCTATCTTTAGTTATTATTAAGGCTGGTCCTAAATACGAAGGGAACTTTGCCAGCGGGACTTCTCACTACCTTGAGAAACTAGGATTCCATGTTAGTCATTCTTTTATGCTCTATTTTTAGTCATCTGACCTTTACGCAGATCGAAATTCTTTTCAAGAGGCCATGGAAAATTGTAACTCGATTTTTGACTGTCAAGTAGCCAGGTATTTTCATGCTTCAACATTTTCCATTTGCGACTTTTAATTTTGGAGTTAGTGGTAATAAATGTAGTCACTAGTCAGTAAAAAATTACTTGTTCTCGTTTTGTGATGGTAAAGTTACATTTCTTATTATCACATTGCCAGAGTTCTGGAAACTATCAAGTTTTATCTACCACTTGCGTTTAGGCATTTTGATAGAAACGTCAATAGGGATTTATCATTTTAATTTATGCGATTCGTACATTTAAGTACACTGGTTATAAGAAGTGACTTTTGAATTGTTCATCGATAAGCAGGATGAATGCTGGATGGTCTTCATTAATGCTACTGATATGTTATCCAAATTTCCTTTCATCGTTATACATTCACAGTGCTAATATATATTTTAGTAAGGGGTTCCAACGGACCACGACTTTATATGAGAAACAAATATCCAAATTTGCATCCGATAAGGTTTTTTCAGGGTTGTGAGATTCCCTTCGACTATCATATGAAGTAAAGACATATATGACGTAGACTTACCTAAGTTGTTTTCTGGTTAGCGTTTTTTTAGCGAGTTCGTTTTCTACAGGATGGGGTCGCTAACCCCATACCCAACTCTCCTTTATCCGGGCTTGGGACCGGCAGTAGCTCCACAGGGGCTCCAGGTGGAGTTATGAATGATCGTGAAAGCGGTAGTATCAGATCCATCCCTCACCCTTATTATCAAGTCGATATGACATCCTCTTATATATAGTTTAATTTCTTTGTTAACACCTCTTATTATATATGACCCCTAACGTATGACGAGCATAAGACTCGAAATGTGTCTTCATTACGGCTCTTAAAGACCTTACGGAGTATAAAAAAAACACCACGGGCTTTAGTTATTGCTTCACAATTAGCTGGTCTTGTGAGGTCATTGCTTATAATAATGTGTACCATCCAAGGTGTTTACACAACGATGCAATGATGTAACCTATCATATCTTATGATTCGACGAAAAGAAATGATCTTTCCTCATATCCAGTACTAGTTTCTTCAACGTCGGTATTAATGTTTTTGTTTATTTATTATTTTATTTTATTTGAACACAGATATTGGTGCAAGGAGGCACCAAATACATGGGCTGTGATACTGCTCGGGTGCCCAAGCCGAAGCAGGTGTTCTTAGGGGGCCACACCCGGAGCTTTCGACCTGAAGGTCTGAGCCACAAGGCAGTGGAGCATCGTAAGGAGGTGCAATCCCATGGTAGCCGATGACCAACGATTGGTTCATATGCCATTTGTTTTCTCAAGATCCTGGAGCCCATGTACACCATTGGTTTGGAATCAGGGTTTTCCAACTCCCCTAGGTGAACTCTCTATGTCCATCAACCCGGTTAAAGTGCCAAACGTTCGCTTTACATTCATTTAATTTTGTAAAGAACAATAATGCCGTGAAAAGGCAATGAGTAGGACTTCCTTGACAGTGGTTGTATGTATGTGGCCATGTGAGAGCATTTGGAGAGGGAGAGCTGATTCTCCCCACTCTCGGCCGTACCAGGGCATTTTGGGGCAATAATATATCATGAAATACAGTAGTCCACTAACAAATGACAACTAAGTAGGTCAACTGGGTTTTAGAGGTAAACTGAATAACTTTCGTATCATGGCACTGGATTTGTATAAAATTACGTTGTATGTGAAAGTATTACTTGATATGGAGTCATGAACAAATTAGGTAATTGCATTAGTCACTACGGAATATATTGCTCTCAGTTTGAACTTATAACAAGCACTGTCATTTGAATATGAATTATTTGTCAATATAGTTTATCTGACTAATACAATTCTTCGTAGATTAATGAGTAAAGAGATCTGATTATTTTCTGGTCATAATATTTCTGAAGCGCATCATCAAAATGAATCTACAGATCTTTATTGTCTAGATACAAACTTGAAACATAAATACCAATGAATCATTTATGCTTACACAGTGAATAATGTGATGGTTATGGGAGCATAAACCAAAGCAATTAGGTAAGCTAGACGTTTATACGTTATTGGCTAACCTGGATGTTTACTCTAGAGAGCAGTAGCAAATTAAGACGTTACATCACTAAACTTGATAGTAAGTAAAGTAGATTTAGATTTAAAGCGTTCCTTTTTTTCGTCTTAGAATTTATGTGTAACATTCATTTGCAACCTAGTTGTTTGAACTTCTTTAGGTGAAATTGAATTCGTTAACACCATCTTGACACTAGAAACTCTCGACCATTGCGCAACACTTGTGAGAAATACTTCCATCACCTTGAAAGAAGCGAACAGAACTTCCATAATTTAAGCTATATATATAAGACACACCAAAAGAGGATTTCGACATGTCAGTCAGCTACAATTTAGGACCAGGCACATATGTGCATCAGTCCAAGTTGCCATACCGCATTAGCAAGGCATGATGATCATCGGATTCATAGAAGTAGTTCATTCAATGGTGGTAATATATAAAAGAAAGATGTCTTTGTTTACTGTCCTACTTCTTACTTTGGCTTCATTATATGGTCTTGCGACCGTTCTGCTTTTCCTTGAGTAATATTTCACATGGAAAATTACTTTCCTAGGTGGCATTTCGCCGCTACATACCCTCCAAGTAAATCAGTAGGATGACAGACTGGTTTGAATAAATTTTTTGGCAATCATAATAGGAAAGCAAATGTTATTGTGTCACTTCCATTGTTTCCAGCCCAACGTTGTTGTTTACTTAGAGGCATTTACTTAGTTGATTTTTTCTGATCTTAATCCTTTAATTAGCATGGTCCTTTTGGGATGAAGGTATGAAAAACGTCGACTTAGGCACTTTAATAAGTCTGTCCTCCTAATCCATTGGTAAAACCTTATGCGTAACTTTGAATTGTTGCTCTTACCTTCACTCCTCTTGGATAGATTTCTAAAGGTCCGCTAACATTAACTTGTTTAAGCAGTGCAAGTTGTACCAATTAACCCCTTATTCTTCAGTTAATGATCATAAAATAATGATATAGGTTCATTTTGTTGCATTTCGACAATATGTGGCGAGTGCATATCTTAATCAACGTTGTTGTCCGTTCTCATTGACTAGATGAGAAAGAACATTGAAAATATCCAGGAATGTCAGACTACCATCTAAAACCAATCCGACATATAATTGGATCATGATAAATGTCTAGTAGCTGAAAATTCGCACTGTTAACTACGCTTCATTAACACAAGCTATACGATCTGCCTCTCTAAGTCATACGATAATAATTCCACAATCGGCTTTTCGAACGCGCAGAATTAGTGGTTGAAAATCGCAACCTAGTGTAGACCGTTAGGTTAGCGTAATACAATCCAACACAAAACCAGGTACAGGAGTGGGAGAGAACTCATGAATAACAAGCGTAAACATTTAGAAATTAAGACGATAACTTTATAGTCTAAGTATACATCTCTTAACCGGTAGGTCCCTTATTCGATATATAAGTAGTGTCATTAACTCTCACTTAGGAAGGAGCCGCTCAAACCCGAGTATATATATATATATATATATATATATATATGCAGGTAATTTTACTGATGCTAGTTTGTTTCTCTGGATTTTCGGTACTTATTATGCTTTAATTTATAGAGATTTCATAGTCTATGCAGTATCTGGTTTCAACACAAATATGGATAAGCTTACGCATATATTATCTGAAACAGTTCTTAGAGCAAAATTTACTGAGGAAGAGATTGAAATGGCAGCTAAAAGTATTTCCTTTGAACTTGAAGCTTTGGAAAGATCACCACCAGTTGAACCAATTATGAATGAATTATTACATGTGACTGCTTATAAAAATAACACACTTGGCTTGCCAAAATATTGTCCTAAACAGAATTTAGATAAAATTAATCGCGAAGATATCATCAAATTTGTTGCCACTCAATTCAAGTAGGTTGTTTTTTCTTTGAATTCAATAAGTATAAATCAGTACACCATCTTAAATATTAAGCTTTGTTTTTAAAAGTTACCCTTTTGAATAGTACATGCTTAAAAACGTATGACAATATTCTCCTAACAGCAGTGCTTTATTGATGCTAGTCAGTTTCTTTTTTTGTCAGGTTGTTGGGTGGAAAATTAAACATTCTTTAGATTTTTTAGATTTCCCAATATGATCGTTCGTAGTAGTTAACATTATTTTTGTTACGTATATTTATTACTGCCTTACATTGGTGCATCGAAGGTTAAGGTATGAGTGTATGTACTCTCTCAAGACCAATCTTCAGTGACATCAACTCTTGTTAGTTGTCCAGTCACAACATAGAATCTGGTACGTATGTACGTTAGTTCAAGTTACTATACTCCATTAGCACAGAGAGATAAAATGGTCAGGCGAAATACCAGAATAGTAAAGGTAGTAACTCATTCAGTGGTAATAGGAAAAGTTAGGCATCGAAGACACGACTCAATAGGAACATATAAATTAGTGAAATGAAAATAAGGGAGAGCTGTGAGGAATTCAGGAGCTTATAATTTAGAGAATGACAAAGAGCGGATGCAACTGCACCACTGCAAACGATTTTGAGCTATGTCATTCAAAGTCTCTAATCGTTGGTTACGATAATCACGGGATCCCCAGCCAGGTAGTCCATACCTATTAACATCAATTGTATTTATCGCACAGACTTCAACCAGGAAGTTTACGCATCTGAACCCTGATAAATCTAATCCTAAGGATTGATCCCATATATTACACTGGATATCATCAGGCTTTACCTAAAATACCATTTCAACCACCATAACACTATTGCGGTACGTCGTGGCTGGGTGACACTAGTTTATGCACTCGTTTACCACCACCTACTACTGTCCGTTTTATCTTTAAATCTATCCTAAAGGCAACGTCACTGACTTTTATGCATTTTACTTGTAGCGTCCCAAGTGGTTTTCATACCAATCACTGTTTTTGCAGCCAGGATTAATTGAGAACGTAGAAAAAACTGTCCTCCCATGACGATAAATCTTGGCATGAAATGTAGTTGGGTTTGATTAGCGTTTCTTACCCCGTTCTCGCTATTGTAGTATAGTTTCCCTCTTTTTTACCGCACATCTGATTTTTCTTCGTTCTACATTGTACTGGTTTGTGGCATACATGTGAAAAGTTAATTAATCAATAGACTAAGTCATCTTAAAACGACACTAAGATACGACTTTCATTATTTCAATAAAGTAAAAATAACTTGTTCCGTTCACATGTATAAAGTAAATTAAGTATTTAAAATCTCTGTTATTGTCACTTCTTTATTGTTTAAAATCATTTTCATTGATATAACTGACTGGAGAAAATAAATCGGCGCTCGGTGTATAAGATAATATTATTCAATGGAAGTAAGTTGTATTACACAAATAACTCTTGACTTCTCAGAACTCTGTAAGGGACTTTCAAGAGATTATGTAACTTATTTCCCGTAAAATAGAAGTAATTAGTAGTCATATTACAGTGTATTATCTGTAAAATTCAAGATTATCCCTTTAATTACACTTATTTCATTGTTTCCCTCATCACCGACCATTTCCATCATATTTTCCATATCCATGATGTTGTCTTACCCTTTCTGCTATTGCACATCTATTGGTACTATTTAATAATAGTTTTGACCATTTTCTATTTTAATTTGTACATTGTAGACCAGAAAAAATGGTGATAGCTGGTGTCGGAATTGAACATGATGCACTAGTAAAGTCTGTAGAGAAATACTTTATTCCAACAGTGCCTAATGTATCTTACGAAAAGGCGGCTAATGATCTGCCTTCACCTGTCACTACTGTCTCCGAATATACCGGTGGTTATTACAAGGCAAGTATTGTTTTATGAATGCTCTAGATTACGGATTACATTTCTGTTCATGTGATTATTTGTAGAATCTAAGACTATGTTGCTTATATTTATTGTTCAGAGCAGTTGGTACTAGAAACATGTTTATCCTTATTGTTAAGAAGCACTAATTTTCCATCAGTGGATTATCCTTTATGATCAGAAACTTAAGTAAACTTTTTAAGGAATAATAGGTTGACAGAATACATTACTTGATTCGGCTGACTTATTATTGACGCTGTGTGAGAAAATCCCTTGGTGGGTGCGAGATTTGAAGCGGGATTTGTGATTCAATGGCCTCAGGTTTTGTTTTGTTTGTCCTGTTTATTTATCGCGGCAGCAGAAGAAAAATACAAGGACTGTCAAAACTTTGATTTATTCCTGTACGGTGGCTACCCGCGAAATTAAGTGTTATTGAGTCTTAACTTGTTAACCGATGCTTAACAGTCAGATGCTAAAATTGCTAAGCTACACATATTTGTTACGTGAAGCGACGGTTTATCGGTTAAAATAATCGACGGTCAGTCTTTTACTCACAGTTTTAATCCTTTCCCCACCGTCTTTGCTATGAATAGGCAGTTCTTATCACTGATCACTCAGTGTTTTTCAATGTTAAGGACTCGCACTAAATTACCGAAATCCATCAGTCGTAACAAGAAATATATTACAGTAATATGTTAAATATGCTTCACTTACCAAAACTCGCAAAAAAGTTTAGTTCAGAAACCATTTCACCCTTATTGTTCAAGCAAAATCTGAATCAATGACATTATGAAGTCAGTTTATCAATCGGATGAGTAACTTGCATTGAACTATATGCCACAATTTTGTATATAAGGTGTTGAATGAACCACACTACATCCAATTTTCATTCGATGATTAGACAGTATAACTAACTTCTGCCAAATTATTTGACTCAAAGCTTAGATATTTCACATTTTACTGTGTTACACTAGTTGGTGTGATTAGTTATTAGGGATATAACTCTGGTTATAGTAAATTGTTTTTACAAATGATTGTGCAATTTATTGATTTGAACAAACACTTGTTTAATGTGAGCTGAAAGTTCAAACTATACTCTTAATGTTTAACTTTCTAGTACACAAATATTTGTATCGTTGTCACATTGTATATTTCATGCATATAGTTACTTCGTTTATCCAGATGATCTTTCTCCCTTAAAATTGTAATATACAAAACTGTATATTCGATCGCAAGTTTGTTTACTTATTTTAAAAATGAAATATTTTCTGTCAATCACACTTTCCTCTTTTTTTTTCGATCAATCAATTAATAGTTAGAACGTGATCTATCACAATATCATGCACCAATGCCTGAATATGCTCATGTTGGCATTGGTTTTGAATCATGCAGTTATACAGATCCACAATTTGTACCAGCATGTGTACTTCATTCATTACTTGGTGGAGGTGGATCTTTTTCAGCTGGTGGACCTGGCAAGGGTATGTATACTCGACTATATCTAAATATTTTAAATCAGTAAGTTAGTTATGTGGTAATATTTAAATATTTTGATTTTCATAAATTGGTGGTATGAATTTTTGTCAGATGTAATTCACTTATGTTCAAAATTAAACAGATATTACTGATAACATTAGATAATCTTTGCACAATTTTTCGAGTTAGTTGAAATTGCTGATATGGATTCATTAAATTCTGACTCAACGGTCCCAATATATCGTAATCTCTGCTAAACCTGAATATTCTGCGCAGAAGGTTAATTTGTCAATAGTGTCTTTCAGAAACAAGTAGATAGGTTCTTAGTAAACTATAAAGGTGATATTTATCCCAAATGTAGGTTGACGTTATATCGAAATACCTTTAAATGCAACAGTAATATCTATCAGTAACTTAAACCAGTGTATAATTAACTGACAGATGCTCGAAAACATCCCATCCGCCTCTGAATAGTATGAAAAGCCAAGAAAATATAGACTAACCAAAACTCTACTCAGTGATCGTGAGCTGTTTGTGGGCAACAAGAGCAAGAGAGATGAAAACTTCATTGATAACGGGTACTAATAATTGGCTATCTAGACTTATCAAGAAAATAGGTGTTAATAAGCTCGTTGTCAGTGACACTCATTCAGTCAGTCAGTCAGCTACAACGTAGGACCAGGCACATATATGCATCGGTACAATTTGCCATACCGCATTAGCACAGTATGATGAACACCGGATTCATAGAAGTAGTTAATTCAATGATGGGAATATATAGAAGAAAAATTGCAATAAGGATATATTACAGGAAGAAAGAATTAGTACGTAGAAAGATATGAAGCGATTTTAATCTCTTAGTTTAAGGGAAGACAGAGAGTGTATACACCAACGCCATTGTGATCGATTCTGAGCCATGTCACCAAGAGTCTCCAATCATTGGTTACGATAGTCACGCGGACCCCAACTAAGTAGTCTGCATCTACCAACATGGCTCAGACTAGAAGTTAGTGACTTTAAGCACTGATGCCACGTTTTGGTTTGGCCGCCCCTAACTTTCTTCCAACCATCTCGAACACCGGTTAGCATTGCGTGTCGTGGTAAACGGTTTTCAGGCATACGCAACACGTGGCACAAGTATCTCAGTCGATGAAGATTCACAACCTCATCAACTGATTTACCATCATTCCCTAATACCCTGCGTCTAACCTCACTGTTACAATAGAAAGGGATGGTACAGTTAAATTTTCAAATCCAAGGTATATTTCAAACTTGACTGTACATATCAGATTCACTGGAATAACGGTTGAATTCACTTGAATAATGCACCCGAGGTCTACTTGTGTTAGAAAGAATGTCTTGGTTACTTAGGAATATTTTTATGTGAGTATATATGAAAGATATATTTGCGGTTCCACAATAAATAATAATTAGTTCAATTTGAGCCCGCATTTATGGTAATAAGACCACAGCAACACTCAATCATAGACCAATCAAACGTAAAAAACGGTGGGTTCAAAATGGCTATCCATGTAAAATACGTTTCAACCAGTAAGAGCATAGCCTGTTTGTCGATAACTAATTTAGCTATTGAGATACAAGAAAAGGGGGATGAACCGTGATTACTAACAAGTAATATGGTCATGAAACATGAATTTCACAATACTTGTATGGATACGTAGTCATTCCAATTCTCTAAGAACAAATCAGAAATGTCTAGTGTACTATTAGCAATAATTCTTACATACTGTTGATCAAGTGGTAGCTAATGACTAAGCTATGTGCGTACATTTACTAATGTAAGATTTTTCTGGACGATTTCCTGTTTTTTTGCCATATGATTACTCAAATTATCATAATTTTGTTATCTGCTTCTTAATTAGTTTAGATATCACTACATACTCCATGTTTTTCCTGTTTTATATCTTGTAGGCATCATTGGGTAAACTCAGCACAGGCTGAAAATCATGCTTATGCTGATACAGGATTATTCACTATTATTGGCAGTTCATTTCCAACTTATCTAGATCGTTTAGTCTATACTTTGATTAATGAATTGCATCATACTATATCATCTTCAATATCACATGAAGAGTTGTCGAGAGCTAAACATCAGTTGAAATCTATGCTTCTAATGAATTTAGAAACTCGTGCTGTTAGTTTTGAAGATATTGCTCGTCAGGTGCTTACATCTGATGTGAAACGTGAACCAGACTATTGGGTTGACCAAATAGGTAAGTCGTATTCCGTTTTTAAAATTATTAACAGCAATTGCGTTTTCTTTTACTTACTTTATCCATAATCGATCATTAGTACTAATGTTAGTCTATAGTTCAGTATCATCACCTTCAGACTACAAGGTTATGACATCTGTCTCTTTTACAATCAAAAACTTTGTGTAAATTTAGTTATTTTTCGTTGAAAACATCCTTATAAGTCCTCAGAAGTTAGGTTCTTGAATCGCCTTTTCATTTTACGTGTTTGCGTCCAATTCTTCCAGTCCCAAATTAAAAAAAACCCTGTAATAGGATGGTTTAACCAAAATAGTCATCAGCCGTCATCCAGTTAGTCAGTTAGCTTTCGAAATCAACAGGATGCCATACTTCTTCGTTGTTTTCATCGTCGTAGAAGGTCATCCTGTATTATCATGTTAATTTTAGAGTCCGCACAAATTTTACTAAAATGTTTGATCCATTAAAATTGAACTATTTTCATCATTCTTTTATCTCCGTAATCACCATTCAATTACTCTTTAATTATTAAGTATTCACAGATGCGGTGAGTCCGGAAGTCTGTTTTCAAAGGAACAATAGCACCAAAACTGTTTGGTCTTCTTAAAATCCCTAAAAACAGCTTTTTCCTTCAACAAATCTTATATTTGACTAATTCTGTTTAGCAGTCTACGGTAAAATGACTAATTCAAATTCCTAAACCATTAAACAAAAAAAATCGTCAAGCATGATAGAAAATACTTTCAGTAGTTAAGATTAGTTTCATGATGTCTTTGTTCAGCGGTGTTCCCTTTTAAGAGACAGTAGGCTTTTTATACAATAAACTTATTAAAAATGGATATCCTGTTTCTATATCAGGACAGTTATGTTTCAGATGCACAAAGAACGTTCACTTGCAATTCAATGACTAATCTCATAAGCAATCGGATAGTGTTCTTATGGGATCACTATTGACTAAACTCTTCTTGGAACATTTCCATCAGAACTAGGATATGACTCATTTAAATATGAAATCAAACGACTGGTATTTTTTCCTTGCTACATAAATAACACTTCCATATTACTTGCTGATGAAGGATTTGATTGTGACCAACTTGATCTCGTGTACTGTTACGGGTATGAGGGCTGATATCAATTCTCGGTTGCCCACACCGTGGAAGGCTATTTCTTGGGGAACCTGAAAAGGAAATTGGATTAGAGGTGGTCTTAACGACCTAGGAGAGTGACCTCAGAGCCCACAGGATAGCTGCTTGAGGCCGGTTGCACACAGCCTTTTTTGTGGGAGGTTTTTAACGTGGTAGCTCCGTTCTTCAAAAGGCCTTAGCGCTGGAGACGGAAATCCGTGAGGTAAGGTAAGATGTGACATTTTTAGGGTGGACCTTTTCTAACCCCTTCCATTCTTGTAAGAAGGCAGCATCGCTGCAAATGCTGGTTGCCCGAGGGAAACACCTTACTGCTGTCACACCCCTCTACAGTGGGCAGTACGACTTCGCCACTCAGACTTTGAGTTGCTGGTTTTAGTCTTACCATTCTCCAATCGACCTGGCTGGCATGGTAGAACCTACATTAACATATGTTCCAGCCAATATAGCTCGGTTGGGTCATCACGATAGGCAAGCCCGACCATCACGTCAAGGTAGCAGCTACGGTTAGGACGATAGCAACCGATGGTTAAAGACCTTAAATGTCATGGCTCAAAATCGTTTGCAGTCGCGCAGGTGCATCCACTCTTTGTGTTCTCCCAAATTCTAATCTTCTGAATTCTTCATGTCCCTTTACTTGTTCTCTTTCCAAACTTGTTTAACTGGATTATACTCTTTGAATAACATCTTCAAACCCTAATGTTTCCAATTACTGCTTATACTTTTACTATTTCGGCCACAATGGGATTTGAATCGACAACTCTATCTGTATGCTAATATGGTATGGCAACTCGAACTGATGTACGTACGTACGAAGTTCTACGTTGTTGATGACTGACTGACTTGCTGATGAGAAGTACAGTGTACTTGAGAAATTGTACAGCATCAATCCATCACTCACACTCACATTAAATGAAGAGATTGATGGTACCATTTCATTTCCAGATGTCTCGTTAATGGAGAGATTAAACGCGGCATTAAAAAGTACATATAGAAAATGAGCATCACTTAATCAGTCTACTCATTTTCGCAGTTTTGTACCTGTTATATCTTGAGACCACTGACACGTGCCAAGTCAACAAACAGAATTCTAATCCTAATATTGTCCATTTCGCAGCTACTATTTCTTCGGTAGCTTAGTGTCCCCAAATTGACAGATTACACGCCCGACCATCACTACTGATTTTGAGTCGACGATTAAGGTCCTATTACTCTGTTCTTCGATAGCTTTTCTCTGTGTCATGGCTTGAGCCCAGCGTCCACGATATTTATATTTCAAACACTCGGTCTATGTACGTATATACGTACATAAATAAAAGATAACACTGATACACGAACAAACCAAAAGTGGCTATGAATAAGGGATGCTGTAAGAAATCGGCTGGCAATAAACTTAGGCATAGTAAATCGTATAACCGTAATTTTGTTATAGCAACTTGTCAAATGTCAAAGCGTAATACATTGTATCAAGTTATTTTGTTCTAATGAGAAAATTCAAGTAAAGCTGAATAATAACCATCTCGAAATTACTTAAATGAAACCCTATGAACTTTATAAACAGACATATGATTCAACCAAAAACAATAATCATTCCTAGAAATCAGATATCCCTAAAACTACCGTTCACAACTAGGAAGGTACTTGTGAATTTACAACACAAGAATAAGTAAAACTCTACAAAAGGCGTTTGCTACAACTAAGTTATGTTGCCTGTTCTACAGTCATTCTATAGTCACATCCAAAAATGAAGATGGACTTTCTCAATTTGTTTCATCTATGTGTATTGACCAATTCAACTGCTCATGTAGAGCGCGTTTTATTGAATACATACAATTAAGTAACCTTGTTATGTAGTTCCGAGCACTCTTCTCTGTGATTCACCAAAAAGCTAAGCAAAGTTGATTAATAGGTACATATTTGGTCATTTATTCTATGCGGGACATTAAGTGGATATAGATAAAGCCTTCCAAGTAATCCAGCGTATCTCATTAACTTCTTTAGTTCTCCAAAAGTTTTCCACAAATTGCACCAAACAATCCCAGTAAGTCATTTCGTTTATTTATTAGACAGACCATGGACACTGACAAACGATTTGCTGATTTCAATTATTAGTCTTATAGTGTAGTCTACATGAAACAAATCTATCGGAATAATATGATGAGTAGTAAATGACGAAGTCACAAATTGATTGGAGCTGAAGTCGCACTACTGGACACGGATTCTAGTCCTAATTGATTCGCATTCGCTGTGAAAACTGAAGGTCATGGTTTTTATTCTTGTCTGGTTTTATGGTGCACATGGCGAACAGCTCCCGTATTAGGATTAAACAGTTGTCCAGTGCTCCCTGGTTATCAACGGTGCTCTAACTAAAACTAACCTCTGATGAATACATATATTTTATGGAACTGATCAACCATATATAGTTTCATGTTATGCACTATTGTGTCACATTCTCCTTTTAATTAAACATTAGCCATACGACTCAGATATTCTAATCGAAATAGGTTAACTCCTATGTTTTAATCATTAGGCCATAATGAATATGCGGAATCGTAGTTCAACAGGTAGAGAACTTGATATTTTAAACCATTAACTTACTGGTTTTAAAATGGCTCTATATATCTATGTTTCAACAGCCTGGTAGTATTGAGATCTGTGCATTAGTATGTTGTGATACTCATGAGTAACTAGTTTTTTTGTCGTACACTGTTCTTTTACTTTAATTGATCTTAAACTGACTGTTAACTTATTGGTTGATGCACTTTTTATCTGTAAAACCAATGATGATTTTAAGTATATATAATCTGAGAAATTACGGCAGTTTTTTTAAATTTGATCGAACTTAGATGTGTTATTCCGGTGATTCAAACAAGGTACCATAAAATAGACTTGACTGAATAATACCGGTTACATGAGGTTTGATAATTGAGTTAGGGGAATTACATATATATATTTATATTGATGTGTGACTAGTGAAATTCTGATGTGATTGTTCACTGAGCCCCCAAATGCTCTGGTACGGCCGAGAGTGGGGAAAGTCAGCTCTTCCTCGAGAAACGCTCTCACACGGCCACATGCATACAAATACTTCCACGGAAGTTCTACTCACTGCCTTCTCGTGGCATTACGGTTGTTCACGAAATTGAGGGGACGCAAAGCGAATGTTCGGCTCCTTAACCGAGTTGGTGGACACGTAGAGTCCACCTAGGGGAGTTGGAAAACCCTGATTCCAAACCAATGGTGCACATGGGCTCCAGTGTCATGAGGAAACAAATGGCTTATGAACCAATAGTTGGTCATCGGCTCCCATGGGACTGCATCTCCTTACGATGCTCCACTGCCTTGTGGAATAGACCTTTATGTCAAAGGCTCTTGATGTGGCTCCCTAAGAAAACCACGTGCTTCGGTTTGGGCACTCGGGCAGTATCCCAGCTCTGACACAAATCGAATGAATGGTTTATATGGCGCATGTCTATTTGGTACCTCCTTGTACCAATGTCTATGTGTTTAAATAAATAAGAAGAACGTGATGTAATAGTCACTTCATTCCAGTTTTAGATTTTCATTCTAGACTCATTGATTCTGTTTGCTTGTAATTAATTTTGTGAGGTAAAATTACTGTCTTGCATTTACTTGGGTTTTCTATATTTCATCTTTAATAGTGATCTATTCTGTGTATAGGATAACGATCGTGTATCCGGTCCATTAGTAATATATACACTCAATAGCCTGTCTGTTTTATTAGTCATACAGTGGTCTTGAGTGCTGTTACAGGTATGAGGGCGGTTATCAATTCCTGGTTGCCCACACCGTGGAAGGGTTCTTCTGGAGGTACCTGAAAAGGAAATTGGATTAGAGGTG